GTGGAGGGGGATGGTGTAGTAGATGATGACAAAATGAATCCAAGTATAGTTGAATATGATCGCTTGTAGGATTAGTAGATTACAAAATACACTAGTATATAAAGAAATCGTTGTGCCTCTTCCAAGAATCAAGAAAGTGGAAGAGGCAGTTAGCCTGAGGCAGTTAGAGGCACGCGTTAGTTGGGTTTCAATATCCTATTCGTTTTTGGCTGACAAAATTAAAGAACTACTTCCTCGTTTTATTTTTAATTGTCCACATTTTTATGAAGAAACAAATGAAGTATGTATTTTAAAATTTTACCATAATAATGATAGTATTTCAAAAAGTCTTGAGAAGTGATTTGGGAAATGAATAGTTATTGATAAGGTAAAACATGAAAAGAAGATAGTCTTTCTCTTGATTTGCTAAATTGGACAAGTAAAAGTGAAATGTATTTTTGATATACTAGTATACAAGTAAAAATAAATGGGGCGACTACAAAAATTTATAAGCATCAATATAGAATATTAGAACCATAATAAATTATAAGAACTACAAAAATTTCTAAACATCAATACACAATATTAGAACCCAGAGCAACACCTTCTCAGTCACTCATAATAAGCACTTCCTCAAATTCCCTTCCCAAACGTCATTAATTCCATCATAGCCACCAGATACTATCAATCCACCGGGGGAACTCAACAGCCCACAAAACTTCTTTTCCCAATCCATTACTCACTCCCCCCTCTCACACAACCCTAGCCCCACATTCAAAGATAAGTTATTAGTTAATTCTGAGGAGATCCATATAATTATGCAACATGAAGAAGCACATACTTAATTCATGCCTGCTGATATACCAATGGAAGAGACAGTGCAGCCTAAAGCCTATGCGCGCTCGAATCAACCTATCAACTGAAGATCTCAAGTGTATTTGCCAGCCTTGGAAATACTTTGTCATTATCAAACTCATGCGTAAACGTATACTTCATCATTATCTTAAGAAAAAAATCCAAGAACTATGGAGACATACAGAAAACTTTATCCTCATGGACCTAGGATCAGATTACTTCATTGTAAAGTTTAATAAAGAAGAAAATATGATTAAGTCTATGCATAATGGCCCATGGTTCATTAATGATTTTTTCCTATCTGTGCAAAAATGGAAACCACAGTCCGTAGCAAGCGAAGCCAAACAACTGTTTTCAGTTGTATGGATATGCTTACCACAACTCCTAATCGAGTTCTATGATAGTATCATCCTCCAAAAAATTGGAAATAAAATAGGAAAACTACTTGGAATTGATGCCTGCACTTCATCCACACTAAGAGGAAGATACGCACGGTTATGTGTAGACGTGCCTATAGACATACCAGTTAAACCCTTCATTCTTATTGGTTCTTATAAACAACAAATTCTATATGTAGGGGAATTTTTTTTTTTTTTTTTTTTATAAAAATTGTGGAAGACTAGGTCACAACGTCCAACAATTTACCTACTCAAGTCCAAAACCTCCCATGATAAATCTACAAAGGTCAAGTTCAAATTCCAATACACAAAGACTAGAAGAAGGTGAATGAAAAATAGTATCCTTTGCAAAGAAGAAGACACACTGCACGATCAATGTCTCCAACAATTGGTAACCCGCCTGCAACAGGTATTAATGCCAGAATCTTTGATGTAGACACAGATAAGTATCTCAGCACTCAAAAACTTAGGTATATCGAAAGAGTCTCATAAATTATCTGACATAGACAAAAAGAACAACCAAAGTTCTAGGAATACTGCATGCACCTATAAAACAACACTGCCTACTACTAACCACTTCTCTCAACTAGATAACCTTCCCATAGTTTTAGATGAAACCACTAACCCACTGATGAAAAGACTTGATAATAACCGATGTATGCACACTACAATGGACACCTCTATAGATATTGATCTACACGTGGAATGCACTGAAAAAGCTTTGTTAATGGAGCTCCAATTATTGGATCCTAATATTTTAAAACGAAATACTACGGTCACCTCTAATAATAATAACGAAAAGAAACTATAACCAATATATGCACACTACAATTTAGATTTTATTCTTTTTTTCATAGAACTAAATGAGATGTTCTCTTTATGCAGTAATTCTCAAAAATAGACTTCCATCCCAAGCTATCCAACTGGAAGCAAACAGTGAAGGTTAATTGACTTTCAAGCTACAATAATGGATGGATTAATAGCAATGATCTCAGAATTTAATACAAACAATTATCAGAAACCAACTTAAATGTTCCTGATACGAATAGCTTCCGTAAGTGGTACCTTATGCTTGTTAGGTGATATGAGGTCGTTAAGTTAGTTGGTGTTAAGGCTGAAAATAAGTTTGGAAGATGTTCAGTTTAGTCCACTTATGTTTTAAAAATATAGTTCCCAGTAATTACACATTAGCCTACAATTTTATTTGTCTTTTATACGAGAGGTCCAGGTCAAGTGACTAGGAAATGGTAGAGTACACTCGAGTGCCAGCTAGGGAATCTTTCCTCTCTCATTTTATATATTGTAATTTCTGCTCTTATCTGAGAATTAATCAAAGAACATTCTCTTTTGTTTTTCCCTAGTTTTTCTCTTAGCCTTTTCACTGCTTTATTGCCTTTTCTTTAGCAGCTTTTCCTTCTTCTTTTACTGTTTCACTGATACGGAAGCACTTTCTTGGCTCTGTGGATCTGGGCGAGTGAAATGAATGAAGTTATGAGTGCTCTACATAAGATCTCCATGGATATGTCAAGCTTCACTGCTCGACTGGAGCAACTAGAAGCTGTTCAAGAGCAAAATAGCAAACATCAGGAAGAACCTCTAAGTGAGCTTAGAGAAGTTATCAATGAGGTCATCTATGGAACGACTTGAAAAGGACAAGAAGGTGCACTACAAAAAAACGGTCAAATTGCGATAGTTATTTTTACAAATTGCAGCGGTTAGTAACTCCCGCAATTTGTTGTTGCAGCAGTTCACAAAACTCCCGCAAAAAGGCTCGCTACAATCAATTTACAGTAGTTATGTCGCGACAGCTGCCATGATTGCCGTAATTAATTAGCGGCAGTTAATTTGGGACAGTTCAACCCCCGCAAATTGATGATTAAATTAATAAAAAAAACTATTCTTTAAAAGTTCCGGCAGTCTGATCCTATGCAACATAAGAAATAGTTAATTAACAATACAATAATTACCGGCGGTCGAAACCCACGCAATTCATTGAAAGTATTAATTTTTTTACTGCATTTTTTTACAAATATTGAACTCTGAATAGTATCTACTAATGAACCTTTACACACCATAATCTAACCAAAAAAGATGTATATATCAATACTAAGAAATATCAACATATTTAGCATCAAAAGTATTACTTTCATATACAAAGTAATTCAGTAGTTTTAAAACTAAATTTTAACGTAAAACATTCACCTTAACCATTCTAACATCCGCTCCAACCACATAATTACATTGTCATAATTAATTATCTAACTAGTGAATTTGCCCGCGCTTCGCGCGGTCATACACCTTCGTCTAAAATAAACGCAAAAAATAATCCAAGAAGTTGACAGCCAATTATTCTAATCTTCTTTGTACTATTGGAAGCATTTGCTTTTAAGGCAGAGAATAATGGCATAGAACACAAACATATAAGGGATGCATTTGCAGCTGTAATTTGAAGATAGACGAAATAACCGAGAGCTCGTCAAAGGCAAACCAGAACATCTAACATACAACATATTTGTCAAAGGCAAACCAGAATATCTAATATACATATTTTATATAGTCAAGGCCTCAAGGGTAAAGCAATATAGTTCTCTCGAGCAAAGTAATGTGTATTTTTGCTATCAAGCAAATATGGTACTAATATTTCCATTCATAAGGTTTTACTAAGACCCTTAGATGAAAACTCATGCATTATTGTTAGTTTTCTTCTAAATGTAGAATATTAGAAAATAGCAGAGAGCCGATGAACATTTATCTAAGAGAAAATTTTGGGGAAAAACAAAAAAAAAAAAAAAAAAAAAAAGAGAAGAAAATATACATATGTAGATTTTTACACCAAAAGCATTCATGGTCAAGGAAAATTTAGGATGAATATACTTGACCCATTAGCCATGGTGTTGGTCCCTTTAGCTTCCGAATTCACACTTGCTTCATAAAGAATCTGTTACCATTTGAAATGGTAACTTCAATGTAAGTCTGTCATATTGGCAATTTAATTTTCCTATCCAACTTCCATGGCAAAGGCATTTGAAGGAAAAAAAATTGAGGCTAAAAGTCAATACCTGATGCATAATGCACCAGAAATTAAACACCAAAATTATTGCTAAAAAAAAAAAAAGACCATATATATTTTACATTGGGATCAAACGTTCTAAACACATTAGTTCGGATACAATCAAAATAATAGGCTAAAATCAGTTTCAATCTTTTAATTTTTACGTTCCTTGAAACAGGAAAAAAAATACACTGTTTTTCTATTGATGGTATGAGCATCAGCATATGAGGAGGTAAACCCAATACATTTCCTTGGTTCTCCACTTGTTCAACATCTGCATTAATTCCACCATTTCCCCTAGTGTAATGAACAAAAATAGTGTCATCTTGATTCCTGCTTTTCTTCTTTATCATGGCAGTTGCACCATATAATGTTGTCCTAGCCAAAGAATAAGTGAATACCACAAGAATGTATCTCTAGCTCTTTGTTCTGTTACGCTTAATTCATACACATAGTCATGATTATTTTCTCTCTTGATGCGACACTAAAGCTAAAACTTTCAAATTAGAATTACTGTTTTCGAACAAAAATATAACTAAGATCTTTAACACAGTTCCATTAAAAGTCAATTAACCGAGCCAAAATCATCCTTCATCAGCTTTCAACTTTGACCATTAAATCTTTCTATCCTAGCTGAAACCAACCTCAAGCATAACTACAGAAGAGTAAACTTAAATTAACATTCATAACACCAAACAGTGCACTGATTCTCCGGGTTGAAATCATGCAATATTTAAATTATCATTAAAAGACATATCTAAAATATTCAGTATCCGGACATGTTATCTTCATCCTCCAAGTAGCAATACCACATTGAACATCATGGAGTTGTGAATTAAAGAAAAACAATGATTAGAAAAATAACTCTAAAACAATAATCATAGCCAAAAGAAATTTCATGTTACTTGTCCAATGCTTCCAAAAAGTTCTTGGAGTTCTTCAACGGTAACATCAGACATATTTGAGTTGCTGGGCTACCCGGACCACCACCACGGACATCAGACCAAAATTTTTTACCATAACCAACATGGCTAGCAGGTGAGGGGATCTGATGCAGGTCCACTACTGTAACTTTCAGGCAGATAATTGCATCTTTGGCATAGTCGGTGAAAGCTGTGAATTGGTAAAATCACAAAATGAGAATTTACTTCCTAACCTGACGCTTATGCAATGTCATTAAATAGGAAAAAGGAATTAAATATAGAATTATAACTGTATTTATGTGAAGATTAAAATGGAATGTCCTTTCGGGGATAAAAGATAAAAAAAAGAAGATTGAAAATAAATCAAGTTGCATTGCGAATAATTCTATATTATGGTAGGATATGGCATATTGAGGACATTAGCACAATTTTAATCATTCAAACAACAACAATCATTTACACTAATATAACCAAAAGCTATGTCTAGATTAAACTAATTATCTTTTTGTCTTCTACATTTAGGTTTTCCTCTTAGCGCAAAGTAAACGGCAACTCCGAATAGCTGCTAATTATCAAAGAAAAATTGTTACAATTCCTTGGTAGAAGAACACAACTGCAAGTAAAGTTAAATAACTTAACCAAAATTAATGTGTTTCGAACCTCACAATGGGAAATCGAGAGGAGAACGGCGAGTCGTCTTCTCTTTTTCCGGCGCCATAATCACGATTTGTGAAGTCCGCTGAAAGGACAATTCATATGTCCGTCTCCAAAAAAGCATTTAAACAACAGTTTAGAAAAAAAGGAATTAAATATAAGACCAATGAAACATAACAATGGTTGATCTTTTGCTACAAAAACTGGAAAAAAAAAGCTTCTCTGTTATTGAACCTGCAAGAGAAAGTGAAGACAGATGATCAAAAGCTTAAAATTTTGGTGACGGCATGTATTGATAACACAGGCCAAGATCGTTTTTCCTGTTAAAATAAATAAATCAAAAGGGCAAAACATGAAGAATATCACATTTGAAGCAAGAATTTTTTATCGAATTAAAAAGAAAAAGGGAAAAAAAAAAGATACCCGTCTTTCCCCCCTTAGATTACTAACTTGAGTTGAATTCCAAGTCATATCACATACAGTGCAATTTTGACAGGGACCTTGATGGATTTCCAGAAGAAAAGTGGAACTCTCTTTTAATCCATGGAGGAAAAGTGGAACCCTCTTTTTATCCATGGAGAGAAAAAAGAAATATTAGCGTTTGAAATTGTTGTCATCAAAGAGGAAGAAGAAAGGGTTTTGGTAGAAATTAATGGGCTATTACTACCAATGAATGAAACGGTTGGGTTTCTCAATTAAATTAATAGGTAAACGAAAGAAGAAGAAATTTATTACTCCATTGAATTGAATAAGGTAAATAGGAAAAAAGAAGAGAAAACTCAAAAAACAGAGAAAAAAGATAAAGGCAATTGCTGATCAATTAGGCATGCCACATCAGCGAGTTAACATCCCTGTTTTATATATATATATAGAGATTCAATTACAAAGAACTTCAATTGTTGTCACTTGAATTACTGCCATCGGATGATCTTCTTGCGTCCTTGGGTGATAGAGATCCAGTAGCTGCATCTCTTGGCTGCAAACAAAATAAAACAATAAGATATTTTGAATGCTAATAGTAGCTTGAGTTATTTCTTGAATAAAAATCTGATCTTTACCAATTCCAAGCTTTACTCTCTAGTCAAAATTTCTAAACACCTGATACAAGGAATCAGCAGTACATATACATAACTATAATCCCAGAAACAAGAAAGTGTCAACAAAAATAAAGTACAATCAATCCACTAAAGAAGACTGGAGAAAGAACTTTAGTTTTTGTTTATATGAGTTGCTCCAGATGCAGATAATATCAGTTGAAAAATAAATAAGAAGTTATTTACCGTTGTAGGTGGAGAAGCAAAGAACCCCCGCAAATTGTTCTGGTATTGTCCCTTCTTTCATTATCATATATGTCTTGGAAAGCATTCATCATTTGTTTGTGAGCATTCGACAATTTATTGTAGTTCTCTTGGAAATGGTTCAAACATGAAGCATCACTTCTTGAAGTATTCATACCACCAAAATAGGGTCTTGCATGTTTAAAAATTTTGTTGGGGACAGCTCCTAATCCTAAGCACCTTACCCTTCCCGAGAGCTCTTTTCTTAGAACTTTACCAATAGCATCATTCGGCGAAACTTCAAGAGTAATCCAGCGTGCTTTGGCTCAAAGCAAGCTCGTTTTTTTCCTAAATAATGTTTGTCACAAAATTAATAAATAACTAAATGCACACTAAGACAAGCAAAAAAGAAATAGCTGTTGAAATGCATCAAGGCATACACTTTAAAAGTATAAAATATACCTAAATACAAAAGCAACACCAAAAAAGAACTTCATCCTTATAGGTCTTATTAACTAAACTTTGATTAAGAAAAGATGATTGTACAGCTCCTTCACTGAAGCTTAGTTTAATGAGCAACATTTTCTTATAGAACAAAATTCACAACAGACCTATTTGGTTTCAGAAACTTTTCGGAAACCAAACTCCAAAGGTACCTGCTTTCACAAGTCTTTACATTCAATCAAACAATCACTATAGATAATAGAATAGTCAAGTTGTGTTGTATTTGCGATCATTTTAAAACATTATTTGGTACTTTTGACACACAAAACTACAGTGAATCAGACAGATACATATATTAGATTTCATACCTGAAAAGAAAAGATAACCTTCGACAATCACAAAGATAAAGAAGAAACTTACACATATCTCCTTTGCCGCCTCATTCACATATGTTCCATCTTGTTTCTTATGAGTATCAAGATAAAGTTGTGCTCGTCCAGGCCTTCGTCCAGTCTCAGCCATCTATAAATAAAATAACCATCAGAATAACCTAACTATTAGGAATAGTTACATAAGTTAGTTTAATAATTAAAGTAAAATGACATGAATTAACATCTTTCACCATTTCAGCCCTTCTTCTGGAGTTAGGTTTGGAGCCACCTGTATGTGTAAAAGTTTGTTTCTTTCGAATTTCAGTATTCCTTTTGCATATTTCCTTACAAAAAAAAATACTTGAAAGTCAATCACACAAATAACAAAATATAATCAAACATACTAGTTGAAGTAATTAAGTAAATACCAAAATAGTTTTTTTTAAAACGGTAATCAACAAATGAAGTCCGCTTATCCCGTGGAATCTTAGCCGAAATTTTTTTCATAATTTGAACTTTACTTTTGAGTGGATCATAGAAAGCTCTTCACAAGTTTAGCCTATTCGCGCTCCACTTTTTCCAAATAGAATTATAAACATAACATCGTGCAACTAACTCGACTGTCTTAAAACAAAACCGTTGCTTCAAGAATAAAATATTGATTAGCTTATCTGCTACATGAAAATATGAAGTCCAACGATAAAATAGACGTATAGTAGAAAGAATTAGAGCTTATACCTTTACAATTCGATCAAATACATGGTCGAAGTATGATATTGGTAAATCTGACCATTTCTCAAAGTGAATTGGAAATAAGGAGCAGTCAGTTGCTAAAATTCCACAAAAGCCAGCAAGCTTCTCCAAATGGTTCGTCCAGGTAATCGAATTCAAGCATGACACGTTCTTCACCAGATAAATTTAGCACATCCCTGACTTTCACTTTGAGTCTCTTCCTATTTTCTTCTGAATCTTTAATAAGAAAAAACAAGTTTANGAACTTTCAGGCAGATAATTGCATCTTTAGGCATAGTCGGTGAAAGCTGTGAATTGGTAAAATCACAAAATGAGAATTTACTTCCTAACCTGACGCTTATGCAATGTCATTAAATAGGAAAAAGGAATTAAATATAGAATTATAACTGTATTTATGTGAAGATTAAAATGGAATGTCCTTTCGGGGATAAAAGATAAAAAAAAGAAGATTGAAAATAAATCAAGTTGCATTGCGAATAATTCTATATTATGGTAGGATATGGCATATTGAGGACATTAGCACAATTTTAATCATTCAAACAACAACAATCATTTACACTAATATAACCAAAAGCTATGTCTAGATTAAACTAATTATCTTTTTGTCTTCTACATTTAGGTTTTCCTCTTAGCGCAAAGTAAACGGCAACTCCGAATAGCTGCTAATTATCAAAGAAAAATTGTTACAATTCCTTGGTAGAAGAACACAACTGCAAGTAAAGTTAAATAACTTAACCAAAATTAATGTGTTTCGAACCTCACAATGGGAAATCGAGAGGAGAACGGCGAGTCGTCTTCTCTTTTTCCGGCGCCATAATCACGATTTGTGAAGTCCGCTGAAAGGACAATTCATATGTCCGTCTCCAAAAAAGCATTTAAACAACAGTTTAGAAAAAAAGGAATTAAATATAAGACCAATGAAACATAACAATGGTTGATCTTTTGCTACAAAAACTGGAAAAAAAAAGCTTCTCTGTTATTGAACCTGCAAGAGAAAGTGAAGACAGATGATCAAAAGCTT